ATGCTCAGGCTACCGCTTCTGTTCCGGTTACCCGTTCATGTTGCTTTAGTGCTACTGGCACTGATGCAGTTCCTTTTCGTCCTCCTCCTCCTCCTCCTCCTCTGCCTCTTCATTATCGTCATCGTCATCGTCGTCCTCGCCGTCGCCATCACCATCATCATCGCCACCACCATCACCATCATCATCATCACCACCACCATCATCATCACCATTATCATCACCATCACCATCACCATCACCATCACCATCACCATCACCATCACCATCACCATCACCATCATCATCATCATCATCATCATCATCATCATCAACATCATCATCATCATCATCATCATCATCATCATCATCATCATCATCATCATAATCATCATCATCATTATCACCATCATCATCACCATCATAATGATCATCGTCATCATCATCCTCGTCGTCCTCATCATCAGCATCGTCGTCAAGCTCATCTTCATCATCACCATCAACACCATCATGTTCGTGCGCTGGCAGCACAAAATGCGCTGGAAGCGAGACGGCATGCTCTGGCACCTGCCCGGCCCCCCCAGGGGGTGCCCTACCTGCCCCCCCCCCCCCACGATATCTCCAGGCAATTCCTCCCCCCCCCGGGGCCCCCCTCTGGCGCCTCCCCGCCCTCCCCGCCCTCGCCCCCGGGCCGCCTCTGCCCCCCTCCGGCTCCCCCCTGCCTCCCCGGCCCCCCTCTGCCCCCCCTGGCCCCCCCTGCCCCCTTCCCCCCCCCGAGGGGGGAAAAAAAAAGCTTCGAGGGAAAAAAAAACAAGCCTCCGAGGGAAAAAAAAAATAAAGCTTCGAGGCCCCCGGGCCACCCCCCCCCCGCCCCCCCCCGAGGGAAAAAAAAGAAGCTGCGAGGGAAAAAAAACAAACCTCGGAGGGAAAAAATAAAAGCTTCGAGGCCCCGGGCCCCCCCCCGCCCCCCCACTCCGGGAGGGGGAAAAGAAAAAAAAAAAAAGCTCCCCAGACTCCCCCGAAGGCCCCCCGAGGGGGAAAAAAAAAAGAGGGCAAACAAAAAGCTAAGCCCGATGTTTTAATACATGATTAATATACGAGTAAATTTATGCATGAACTCATCGTTGTTTTAAATACCGAATCCCTACATGTTTAATACATGATCCGCACGCGGAGCATGTGTTAAAAACGACACTGTAGTTTGCAATCCACCACAAAACCAGGCCTTTGTAGTTTGCAATTGCAGCTCAGCCTCATATCTGAATGCTTCGCGTGACCATGGGAGTACTCTGGAGGCCTCAATGGCTTCACCTTGTAACAAGGCTGTATCCGTTTCACCCGTGGATCGAACGCTGTCTCCTCCTGCCATCGCTCGGACGTCCATTCCCCATGCATTTCTCGGTTTCGTGCGTGGTTGTTTTCGCAGAATGGCCCAATATGCCCCTCGGTGGCCCTCGCTGAAAAAAATGCGCACGTCCGACCGATGCCAGGTGCTTGGTCGCACGACACACGTACACACACACACACACACACACACACACACACTTTTTTGGTGGTCTGCGGGTCGGGAGCGGGCCCCTTCCGGTCAAGAGCTAAACGGGACGCGAGTAGCGGGCGGGCGGGGCCTCAGGCGGCCGGAGGGCTCAGAAAACAGGCGGTGCCGAACATCTCGCACAGGACAGCACACACACACACACACACACACACACACTTTTGGCGCCGCGGCCCCGCGCGCAGCGACGGGGCGTCGAGAGGCCAGAGAAGAGGGCGCGCGCGCGGGCGCGCCTGGAGGTCGACACACAAGCGCTCAATTTCGTCTGAAGGGAAGGCAAGAGTTGTGGATGCCATGACAATGGGCACTCTAACAATCCTATCATTGAAATAAAGATGTCTAAAATCTATAAGACATGTTCTACAAATGCTTCAAACATGGTTTTTACATGTCTAAGACATGTTTGAAGCATGTTTTAGACATCAGGAAATTAGTTGGCAGCATGCCTCCTCTCCATTAATCGACTGCCACAAGGCAAGAGGAATACGGTGGAGGAGAGAGCGAGGACAGAAACGAGGGAGGAGCAGCGAGAACACGGAAGAGGGTCGATAGCGTCCCGCCCTCATCCAGTCTGGCGTCCGCCCTTCACCCTCCCGCCTCGCCCCTCTCTAGGGAAGCGAACTCTATACATCGACGCCGTTCCCGGCCCCGCACTGGAATACGCACAGGAAAGCGGATCCTGGTGTACTCGGGATCCTGGTATACATGTCTCGCTGTTTCCCCGGGAAAACACTGGAAAAAGTGTACACCACACCACCCCGACGTCGTCCTCGACGGTCCAAAAGTCCTGGGATGGAAAAACGACTGGTAATTCCCCAATCAGAGCTTGCCTCTGTAGGGGCCCTAGCGGATTTAAAGGTAGGTGAGGTGCGCCGCCGATTCGGTGGCTGGGCCCGGTTGCCCGGGTGCCTGGGTGCCCGGGTGCCCGGGTTCGCCACATAGCCCAAATAGCGCCCAAGAGCCCATATAGCCCTGTAGCCCTATAGCCCTACAGCCCTAAAAAGATTATGATTGGGTTTTTTCTCTGGTATCATGTATATGCTCCAGTTTCCGACGTTACAGCCTCAACGGGTCCCGGACTGGTCCCCGGAGTGATCCAGGAGCTGGGAGCGCACATCGTCTGGAGGCAAAGTGAGAAATCTAAAGAGCGCAGGTTGGACTCCATGCTCTGTTGGTTAGTCAGCGCCATATTTGAAGGGGCCCCAGGATACACAAATGAATACACACAAATAAAATTACCCCAGTGCGACCCTACCTAGAAGTTGGAGCCCCTAGGAAAGCAGCATTAGTTGCTATGCTATGGTATGCTATGCTATGCCATGCTATGCTGCGCTATGCTATGCTATGCTATGCTATGCTGCGCTATGATATGCTATGCTGCGCTATGCTAAGATATGCTATGTCATGTTGCGCTGTGCTATGCTAAGCTACGCTATGCTATGCTATGCTATGCTAAGCTGCGCTATACTATGTTATGCTGTGCTGTGCTGTGCTGCGCTATGATATGCTATGCTATGCTATGCTGCGCTATGCTGTGCTATGTTGGGCTTTGCTATGATATGCTGTGCTGCGCTGTGTTGTGCTACGCTCTGCTATGCTATGCTGTGCTCTGCTATGCTAAAGCTCGGCGAAGCTAAGATGAAGGTAAGCTAAGCTAAGATAAACCTGAGCTAAGATAAACCTGAGCTAAGATGAAATAAGCTAAGCTAAGATGAGATAAGCAACGCTAAGCTAAGGGAACGTCACTGGGGGAACCGCGGGGCGGATCCTGGGGGAACCGCCCAGGGCGGGGAGCACTGCCTGGCCCTTTAAGTATACAGGGTAAGAACCCTTCTAGGCAGAGCCTAGGTAGGGAAATATTCCCTATATTTTCCCAGATCTTCTAGGTTTCTGTCTTCCCCCCCACTTCCCATATTTTCCCATATTTTCCGGGGAATCGACGATTAACTGTGTCTGTGTGTGTTTTTCCCCTCCTGAGGTTAGTCAGTGCCATATTCCGCGCACACTCCATCCACGCGAGCGCGCTGGTTCAGGCTACGCCATGTGCTGCCCCCGCCTCCCCAGCGAGGTCCTCCGCGGGGGGAATCCCCAGCAGAGCGTACAGAACGCTTACCTCGATGTCCACACTGACTCCTGCGATGCAGTTGTGCGCCACAGCAGCCACTGCTGCGATGATTCACAGTCAACCAGAAAGTACAGCGCCAAATGGCCCAGCTGGACCCCTCCCGGGCCGCAGACAAGCGGCGGCGGCTGAACGCCTGGCCGCCTCAAAGGAGGACCAGGTCTTGCTGGGCCCCCGCGTGTCCGAAGGGGCCCTGGGACACACAAACAAATACACACAAATAACAGGCTTCCCCATATCTTCTCATACTTTCTGGGCTTTTGTCCTCCCCCCCACTTCCCATGTTTTCCCACATTGTCTCATATTTTCCTGGGAATCGACGGCCAATTGTGCCTGTGTGCTTTTTTCCCTCCTGAATGTCACCATTCCGCTGGATCCCCGGGGACCCGCCACGGAGCGGCGACGGACTGCGCACCGGGGCGAAGCCAGGCTGCGCTGGGCCCTCCCGCCGCTGCTCCGCGGGGATCCCCGGCAGGGGCGCGGGGAGGCTGCGACGGCTGCACGCCCGGCAGCACTCGGGAGATTAAAGGCCTGGGAATTGGCACAAACACCAACACAGGGGGTTGCCTCCACAGGGGGAAGATGATCCTCGATTTCGGTGTTGGTGGTAATATTTCGGTCACCTTGGAAGCCAGAATATTACCACCATCACCGAGATCGGGATCATCTTCCCCCTGTGGAGGCACACCGCCGATATTGGTGTTGGTGTCACCCCCTAGGCCTGCGAGGAGAGGCGAGGTGTGGCTGGGAGGAGCACGTGTGCCGCCGCTCAGCCCGCTCCCCAGCAGCGTTTTCCACCCACCACGGCGCCCGTTCTGGCTCGGAGGGCCTCTCGCGCGGGCCCGTAAACACATCACTGAAGGGGCCCCGGGACACACAAATAAATACACACAAGCAACAGGATTCCCTATATGTTCCTATATTTTCTTGGTTTTAGTCTTCCCCCCCACTTCCCATAATTTCCCATATTTTCCTGGGAATCGACGATTCATTGTGTCTGTGTGTTTTTCCCCTCCTGAATCACCTCGTCGAGGCTGGACTGGGGGGTGCGTCTGGCTTGGCCTCGGGCAGCCAGCCGAGCATCGGCGGCCGGTGATGGAAGAGGGTGCGGGGTCCGACTTCGTGAACGACCCGGTCTGCTGGCAGGAGTAAGAGGATGGAATGAGGACGAGGACGAGGACGAGGACGAGGACGAGGACGAGGACGAGGACGAGGACGAGGACGACGACGACGACGACGACGACGACGACGACGACGACGACGACGACGACGACGGGCGGATGCGGGGGAAAGGGGGAAGCGGGGGGTGACACAAGGAGCCAGGGCGCCTGCAACAAAACCCGGTGATGCGGCGGCGCCACCAGCTGCGCCCCCGCACCGAGGCCCTTCAGCAACTCAACAGGGTCCTGCCGCAGCTCCGCGTAGAGCCCCGACAGGAAGGGGACAGCGGACCCCAGCCTGCAAAGCATCCCTACCCTCTTGACCACGCTCTCGTTCCTCCGCCTCCTCCTCCTCCTCCTCCTCATCTTCCTCCTCATCATCATCTTCCTCCTCCTCCTCCTCCTCCTCCACCTCCTCCTCCTCCTCGTCTTCCCGCTCCTCCTCCCCTCCCCACTTCCTTGTCCTCTTCTTCTTCCCCCTCCTCATAACCTCCACCTCCCCCGTCAATATCCTACTCCTCATCCGACTCTTACTTCGATCCCGATTCCCTATAACCGGATCTGCCACCATGTTGCCAGGCGCAAGAAGGGGCGTCCTCATGCCCCATCGAATTCTCTGCTTGGGGGATTGAAGCTGTTCTGATTGGGCCCCAGGCCCTGGATCTTCAAATTCCAGGGCGCTCCTGGGAATCGTCGCGTGACTGTTTCTGGGCCTCGGGATCGTGGTTCGGAATCCAAGGTTCCAGCATGTCCGAAGACAGCACCAAGGCGCCGCCCTGGGGCCCTCCTGGGCGCCTCTTGAACTGTCCTGGAGGCACTTGGGAGGATCGGCCCAGAAGGCCAAAATCCGTGGAAAAGCTTCGGTCGTTGCATGATTTCAACATTATCGGCTGTTCGATCGGAATAGAATTCTAGAACAATTCTATCAAAACGAGTTTGGCGAGGGCCTGGAGATATAAAATAATAAAACGTATACGTGGAAAAGACAGATTAATTCAATAGCTGTAGAGCATCACATATTCAAATAAGTTAAAGACTTTTTGTTTGTACTTCAAGTTCCCCGTTTTTTACGAGCGTCCAAGACGGTCCGAGAGGCCCACACGGTGTCGCCCCCAGGTGGCCCAGAGTCGGCCCAGAGTCGGCCTCCAGAGGAGCAGCCCGAGCCGACGCCGCCCAACGCCCGTCGCCCCGAGATGCTCACCAGGGCCGCCAGAAGGTCCCCTAGCGGAGGCCCCTAGACTTATGTTGCTCCCATCGCACTTGAGGACCACATCCCAGAAGTAATTTCGAGCACCCAGAAAGGTGTCGCTGCATGAGTTCAACATTGTCGGCTGTTCGATCGGAAGAGCGTCCAAGACGGTCCGAGAGGCCCACATGGTCGCCCCCAGACGGCCCACGATGGCCCAGAGCCGGCCTCCAGAAGGGCAACCCGAACCGACGCCGCTCCACGCCCGTCGCCCGAAGAGATGCTCGCCGGGGCCGCCAGAAGGTCCCCATAGCGGAGGCCCCTAGCGGAGGCCCCTAGACGTATTGAAGGGGCCCTGGGACACACAGATAAATACACACAGATAACAGGGTTCCCCATACTTTTTCTCGTATGTTCTGGGTTTTTTGTCCTCCCCCCCACTTCCCACATTTGCCCATCTTTTCCTGGGGATCGACGATTAATTGTGTCTGTGTGTTTTTGTTCCCCTCCTGACTTCTGTTGCTCCCATCGTACTGAAGGACCACATCCCAGAAGTAAGTTCGAGCACCCAGGAAAGGTGTCGAAAGAGCGTCGAAAGAGCGTCGAAACAGTGTCGAAAGAGTGCCTCCCAGGGCCCGACACGTGAAAACCCTCGAGTTTGGGGGTGTTTTCCTGGTGCTCGAAATTCATTCTGGCGATCAAGGCCAAAGCAGGTTGGAACATCATAGCCCCAGACACTAGAGACACCAAAGACTCCCCCCGAGAGGCCCCAGGCCCCAAGAGGCCTCCGAGACTCTACGAGGCCTCGTGGCCACGACCCAGGCACGGTGGCGGGATCGACACCGAAAGGCCACTCAATCCGCCACGGGCCGTTCCTTCTCGTATCGAGCCCAATATGCGCTCATGTGTTCTACCCTCGGAGCTTCTTACCCTCGGAGCAGAGAATATGCCCCCCGCCTCTTTTCGTTATATACACTTATATATATATATATATATATATAAAAATATGTGTATAAATATATGATTTTATGATTGAATATATGTGTAAATATATATGTACACACACATACAGCTATAGCTATATATATATAGCATATATATATAAATATATATATATATTCGAATATATCAACATACGAATACCAAACAACAACAAAAAACTAGGGCAGCCGGGTGCCGTAACCCCTCCCTCCCCTGGGGCACCACCACCCCGCCCCCCAGGCGTCCTCCCCCCCCATGGGCGCCCGCCCGAGCGCGGTGGTGGAATCGCGCGGCAGCGCAATCGGATACTCTGCGGGGCTCATAGCATCCACAGGAATCCTTAGGAATCCTTTGGATCCCCTAGGAATCCTTAGGATTCCCTAGGAATCCTTAGGAATCCCTAGGAATCCCTAGGAATCAGGATTCCTATTCAGAACTCACGGACGGCCTGGGGCTCCTCCTGTGCGCGGCCGAGGTGCTCCGCGCGGCGTGTCCCGAGGCGTCTGACCCCCCAGTTCGGGCTCAAGACTCCCCACGCGCTTCGAGATGGCCCCAGAAGGGGGGGGCCGTCCTGGGGCTCTCTCGGTGACTCTCGGGCCGCATTGGAGGCCCGGGGGGGCCAGCCCCAGAGACCTGAATCGCCCAAAAGAATGCGCACCCAAACGATTATCATGTTCTCGACGTTACGGCCTTGAGAGTGCACAAGACGACCCAAGACGCTCCCAGCTCGCCGCAACACGGCTCCGAAGCACCCGAAGAGGCCACCAGGAGGAACACGATGGGGACCGACAGCGGGTGGTCCAGCCCGCCCACACAAAGACCGAGCGAAGGAACCAACCCTGTGCAACTGCGTGTAGCGTTGGGAGAGCGGGGGGAGACCCTCTGATCAGATAGCGGGGTGAGCGGGAGGAAAGGATCGAGCGTGGAGACGCTACGAGGGCGCGCCAGCGGGGGCCGAAGTAGAGCTCCGTGGGGCACGGTCCATCGGAATGGCGTGCCAAGATGAGCGCGGCGACGTTGTGCAGACGCGCCCACTGGGGCCGCAAATGGAGATCCCCGTGGGGCACGACCTGTGTGAGAGGTGTCCCGAAACGATCGGGGTGACGCTAGGCGGGCGCGCCCGCTGGGGTCATCGCTGGCGCTTCATGTGGGCACGATCCGTCGCAGTCGGAGCCCCCTGTGGCGCACGAGCCGCGTGACAGGGGCCACGGGGAAACGAGCTTGCCGGCGCTGTACGGGCGCGCCCATAGCTGGTGCTCCCGTGGGTCGCGATCCGCGCCAAGAGCGCGCCGAGATGAGCGGTAGTTGAAGCTCCCTGAGAGCCTCGATCCATTGGAAAGATGTGCCGAAGCAGGCGGGACGGCGCGGTGCGGGGCACGCACCGGGGCCACAGCTCGAGCTCCCCATGGGGCACGATCCCTGTGATGTCTGTGCCGGAGCGGACACACGAGCAACAGCAGGAGGGCTGGGGAAAGCTCCATCTTCTCGTCCCTCTTCCCTCCTTCCCTCTCCGTCCCGCCTGCAACCCCACTCCTCCCTACTGCCTTCGCCCCCCATCTCTACGCACTCGTTCTCTCCTCAACCCCCTCTCGCTGCTCCCTCCCTGGGCCCTCCGTCCTCCATGCCTCTTCCTCACACTCCCCCTCTCCCTCCTCCTCCCCTCCCCCATTTCCCCTCCACGTCCTCCTCCAACTCCTCATCTTGCTTCTCCTTCCCCATCTTCACCCTTCCCCATCACGTCACTCCTCAAAACCCCATCCTACCAACTGCTGTACAATCCTTACTTCCTCCTAGATTACATACCCTTCATCCCTCCTACCTCCTGCTTCTACGTATCATCATCATCCCCTTTACCATCACCATCGCCATCGCCACCACTATCACCACCACCACCATCATCATCACAACCACCACCAAAACTGCCACATCATCACCATCATCATCATCATCATCATCATCATCATCATCATCATCATCATCATCATCATCATCATCACCATAATCATCAATATCATCATCATCATCATCATCATCATCATCATCATCATCATCATCATCATCATCACCACTATCATCCATCATCAACCATTCATCATCATCATCATCATCATCATCATCATCATCATCATCATCATCATCACAATCAGCATCATCGTCATCATCGTCATCACCATCACCATCTTCATATCATCATCATCATCAGCATCATCATCATCATCATCATCAGCATCATCATCATCACAATCATCATCACAATCATCATCATCGTCAGCATCATCATCATCATCATCATCATCATCATGCTCATCCTCATCCTCATCCTCATCATCATCATCATTATCATCATCATGTCCTTCAACATCATCAGCAGCATCAGCAGCATCATCAACACCATCAGCATCAGCATCATCTTCATCATCATCATCGTCATCAGCATCAGCATCATCAGCATCATCATCAGCAGCATCATCGGCATCATCATCAGCATCAGCAGCAGCATCAGCATCGTTATCCATCGGCGTCAGCAGCAGCATTATCCTCGTTGTCGTCATCATCATCATCATCATCATCAGCAGCAGCAGCGTCATCATAATCATAATCAGCATCATCATCATCATCATCAGCAGCAGCAGCATCAGCATCATCGTCATCACCATCATCATCACGATCACCATCAGTATCATCATCACAATCTTTATCAACCTCATCGTCGTCACTGTCATCGTCGTCGCAATCATCATCCGCATCCTCATCATCATCATCATCACAGCAACCACCATCATCATCATCAACATCATCATCATGATCATCAGCAGCAGCTTCATCATAGTCATCAGCATCATCATCAGCAGCAGCATCAGCGTCATCATCAGCAGCAGCAGTAACATCATAATCCTCATCATCATCGTCATTATCATCATCGTCATCGTCATCGTCATCGTTATCATCATCATTATCATCATCATCATCATCATCATCATCACCATCATCATCGTCATCATCATGATCATCATGATTATCGTCATACCCTCCTCCTCCTCCTCCGCCTCCACCTCCTCCTCGTTATCGTCATCGTCATTCTCAACAATATCATCCTTGTCCATCTCCGCTTCCGCCTTCGTCTCATCCTCCACGAACTCCTCCTCCTCCTCCTCCATCTTCTCCTCCTCCTCCGCCTCCTCCTCCTGCTCTGCTTCTGCCTCGTCCTCCTGATTACTTTCTTCCTCCCCGCAGAGCCCCGTGAGAGGAGGGAATGCGGAGACTGGCGCCTGTACAGCAGCACGACGGCGTAGCCGCTTCCGAGCAGCTCCTCTGTGCACACCGCCCCGCGCGTGCCCGTCGAGAAGTTGTCGACGAAGCGGACCGTGTTGATCTCGAGTGGCACGCTGGTGCCCCCGGAGGTTACCAAGGCGCAGCGCCTGCCATCCCGCACCTGCGATTGAGGAAAAGAGAACCACATAAACATCCGCCACCGCGCTTCGGGCCTTTGCTTTGTTCGCTGTTCTGGCTTCTCGCGAAGCAGTAGCTACTGCGGCCCCCCCGACACATCCAGCCAGACCAAGTCCCTGCGTGGCGTTGCTTCCCGAACAGAACATGTCTTGAAGCCGACTCCTAAAGCCCGTCTTCCAGTGCAGACCCGAGGAGGCTGGGGGCGGGCCATGGCCCCTGCGCCCCCCTTCGCCCTCGGCAAGCCCCCCCACCCTCCGTCGCCCCCCCACCCCCCCACCCACCCCTCCGGGAGGAGGAGGAGGAGGAGGAGGAGGTCCCGCGGGCGCCCCCCCTCCCCCCGTTGGCGCCCGCCCCAGCGCGGCATCGCGCGGCAGCGCAACCGGACGCGCTGTCGGAGCGCCGTCGGACTCCCGCGCGGGCCTCCGAGAGAACATGTCTGTGGCCGACGACCTGGACGACGACGACGACGACGGCGACGACGACGACGACGCGACGACGAGGACGACGACGACGACGACGACGAAGATGACGACGAGGACGACGACGACGACGACGACGACGACGACGCCGACGACAACGACGACGACGACGACGACGACGACAAGGATACGGAAGAACAGACGTATCTTCTTACTGTTATTACTATTACTATTGTTATTATTATTACCATTATTATTACTACTATTATGATGCTTATGATGATGATTATTATTATGATTGTTATTATTATTATGACTGTTATCAGTATTATTATTATCATAGTAGTAGTAGTAGTAGTAGTAGTAGTAGTAGTAGTAGTAGTAGTAGTAGTAGTAGTAGTAGTAGTAGTAGTAGTAGTAGTAGTAGTAGTAGTAGTAGTAGTAGTAGTAGTAGTAGTAGTAGTAGTAGTAGTAGTAGTAGTAGTAGTAGTAGGTAGTAGTAGTAGGTAGGTAGGTAGGTAGGTAGGTAGGTAGGTAGGTAGGTAGGTAGGTAGGTAGGTAGGTAGGTAGGTAGGTAGGTAGGTAGGTAGGTAGGTAGGTAGGTAGGTAGGTAGGTAGGTAGGTAGGTTAGTAGTAGTAGTAGTAGTAGTAGTAGTAGTAGTAGTAGTAGTAGTAGTAGTAGTAGTAGTAGTAGTAGTAGTAGTAGTAGTTGTATCATTATTAATAATAATAATAATATTATTACTACTATAACTATCATTAATAGTATCATTATCATTATCAGTATTATTATTGTTATTGATATTATTATTATTAATATAATTATTATTATTATTATTCGCGCCTGCTCGGCCACGAACGCGTCGAGCCTCTCCCTGGACGCCGCCAGGTCTCGCGGACGCAGCCGGCAGGTGCGGCCGAAGAAGCTCTCGGCCTCCTCGTCCATGGGCCGGGCGCCGCGTTCCAGGTCGGGCCGGGGCTCCGTCGGGGAGAAGGGAGGGAGCGGTCTGAGCAGCAGGGGGAGGGCGAGGAGGGGGGGGCGAGGGGAGGAGGGGGTCGGACGGAGCGGACGGGATGGAAGGGAAAGCGAGGGGGGCGGGGGGGCGGGAAGGGAAGGGGAGGGAGGAGGCGGGGGGGCAAACGAAGAAAGGTGAGGAAGCGGAGGGAACAGGAGAGAGGACATAGGGGCAGGGAGGGAGAGTGGGAGGGGCGGGACGGGGGGGGGGGGTCCAGGAGAGTGGAGAGGGCGAGACTCTCAGGCGCTCCTGGAGTTCGCCGTGCCACTTCTCCCAAGGCCCCAGAAAGCGCGCTTGGAGGCCCAAGTTTCCAGCATGCCCGCGGGTAGTCCGCGGGGTCCCTCCTGGGCCCTTCCTGGGCCCCGTCATGGGGTCCCCTGGGCCTTCCTGGGGGCACTGAGGGCCAGGCCCTGAGGCCAAGTCTCCCAAGAGCGTTCGGCTTGAGTGCGACTTCAACGTGGCCGCCTCTTCGGTCTTGAGAGGCGTCAGAGATGCCCTCTAGGGCGCCAAAAAGCGCGCCACCGGAAGACCGCTGGAAGCCAACCCTCCAAGATGGACGCAAGCCGAAGACCCCAGAGGCCCCCGAGAGGCCACTGAGAGACCCCCCAAGAGGCTCCCAAGAACCTCCCAGAGGGGGGTGCAAGAGGCTCTAGATAGGCCCCGAAGAGAATGCCAAGAAGCCCACAGTTTTGGGGCCGCTGTATTCCCGACCATGTTCCCCTTGCGTCTCGCGCCGTCAACACAGGGCCGGTGGCCAGATTGGCCGAAGGCCACTAGGTAGCCTCGGGGGGCCTCCTGGCCCAAGGATACTGAAAACTGGCCCCAGTTCCCCCTGTGACTCTGCAACGATTGGTCACATAGGCTTGGTCAACAAAACAACAGGCCGCGGTGACTTGGTACAGGGTGGTAACGCACACGGCGCCCTCAATACTGAACGCGTTGCTAAAGGCCTGTGCAAAATTTCAACCCCACCAGCCCTGCAGGCGGAGATATGGTTCTTCTCTTCCATTGTCCCAAACCCCTTCTTCCTCCATACGAAGAAGGGGGTATCACTGCCCCTACTGCTATATGTATACACATAGATACAGGCACACGCTCACTACCGGTCCCTAACAAGGGACAGTGCACCCCCCCAAACCACTCGCCCGAAACCCGCCGCATCAAAATCTGGATCATTTTCGAGGAGGGCGCGATCACTCTACATAATTTGTTGACAGGAACCAGGAAGACACATATTACCCAACGTCTGCAAGCCTACCACCCCTGTCATGAACCATAACAAAAAATGCAAAGCAGCAAACATTTGACCACGCGCGGGCGCCAAGCAATCACTTCGCATTGGCATTTGACAAGGATGATGGGGTTTCCCCAGCACGCGCGGCGCACAACGCGGGCGTCGCACACCTGGCCGACGTCAGAATTGGTTCCGGATGGTTGTCGCTGGCGGCCTCCGCCCATGCCGAGGCCCGGTTGCTCCTTACGTGTTGGAAGGGCGCATGGGAGTGAGCGGGAAGGCGTGCGGCTTGAGGCCAATTGATCATGGCCGTGTATTATTATACACCCTTGTCACCACCTGACCCAGGGCAAACACAGAACCATGACCACACCCACCCACTATCTACCAACAGAAACATGCACGTTGTGGCAACATGTGGATCATGCGCGGTCACCTGACGATACGTTTGCGCTGTTGTGCTTAAGCGGCGAGGGAGGTGCCGGCATATTACCTTGTGCGCTGAGGCCCGTCACCCCTGTCAAAAAACCATGTTAGATACAATGTGCGGCACAAGATTGATTTTGCACGGGCGCCCCACATGTTCACAACATGCTACCAAAGGGACCATTCGCGCACAAATGTCGAAGCCGTTCAAGCGCCTTTGCGCGCGTGCTGTCGCAAGAACCCCTTTTTCAAAAAACATGACGAAGTGCACCCGCATGCCGCCGTCGCGCGCGCATGCCAAAATCCTTAAAAAATCTTACGCGTCGCTCAGATGCACAATCGAATGTCCCGAAAACATACGGAAACACATGGGTTGGCACAGTCAGTCTGCATAGAAATATTTACGAACAAGTGAAGAGGGAGAGAGAGAGAGAGTAAGAGAGAGAGAGAGAAAAAAAAAATGATAGAGAGAGAGAGAGAGAGACAGAGGGAGAAAGACAGAGAGAGGGAGAGAAAAACAACAACAAAAAATGTTGCGTTCGTAAGTGTTCCAACGTTTGGATTGGGCCACGCGGGCCTCCAGCGCGCGCGTGGAAAACACTCGAACGCCTTTTTAAGCGCGTGTTGGGGGAGGGGCACCATCCGCGTCAAAGCATATCGCACGGGCCACTCTCGCGCGTCGGCCACGCTGTGCGCGCGTGCATCGTCACAGGCGTGATCAGCATCGGCGCCGCCACTGGCCATGTCGTCGTCGATGTCACCATCGTCACTAGCATCGCTACTACCAGCATCGGGTCTACCGTTGTCAACGTTGCCATGATACCGCGCATGCCCAATCGCCGACTCGCACTGAAGTGCCCGCTCGGAATGCACCCAGCGGTCAGCGCCACCGCGGCCACGTCGGTCGCGCTAAACTGGCTGGCCGCCGCGCGCGCGAGCATACGCGGGTTAGCGGGGCCGCAAAGATGCAACAGCCAACATCAAGCACTCATCGCAATCGCCGCCGCAGGGGTTTTGCAAACTCACTTGCGGGTGGGTAGGAGGGATGATTGCGCGAGCACTGGAATTCACAACCCATTGCGAACAGAAGCTAATTCAACCACATAAATTGCACAATGACTATCGCACAACATGGAGCACACCAGGTACATTATTCGATCCGATTAAAAATGTGGCTCTACCTCCCACCCCACCCCACCCAGGGTTAACGGGTCATCTTTTTGCATTGAAATTCACGGTCGCGGGTGGGCGGCCCATTCACTGCGAACACACATTAATTGCACGGCATATGTTCCATATTCCAAAACAAGACTCGGATTGACCCCGCCCTCCCCGCCCCCCCCCCCCCGAAAAATTACCCTGGCGACGTACCCAACCCCTGCGCAAAAGCGGGGCGCAAATAGTTTAGGATACTTTATAAGGGGGCGATGACGGAGCGAGGGTTACATATGTCTGCAGACGGAATTCGGGAGACTCGCAGGACACTGGCTACAGGAAAAGGGCTTGATAAAGCTGATGATTTACAATTCCTGAGCACTCCTAGCCACTTCGAAAACGGGGATCACAGCAGGCCTCGAAAGTGGCGACAGGTTCACAGATCGCAGCCCCGCAGGGATGGCGGGCCCCCTCACAGGGATGATCGCAGCCCCCCAGGGATGGCGAGGTCTAATTTGAATCTGCCGTGGCCCTCACTGTGCTGGGCCCCCCAGCAGGCCTCGAAAATGGCGACAGTTTCGCAGATCGCAGCCCCCCAGGGATGGCGAGGTCTAATTTGAATCCGCGCGTGGCCCTCACTGTGCTGGGCCCCCCAGCAGGCCTCGAAAATGGCGACAGTTTCGCAGATCGCAGCCCCCCAGGGATGGCGAGGTCTAATTTGAATCCGCGCGTGGCCCTCACTGTGCTGGGCCCCCCAGCAGGCCTCGAAAATGGCGACAGTTTCGCAGATCGCAGCCCCCCAGGGATGGCGAGGTCTAATTTGAATCCGCGCGTGGCCCTCACTGTGCTGGGCCCCCCAGCAGGCCTCGAAAGTGGCGACAGTTTCACAGATCGCAGCCCCCCAGGGAGGGCGAGGTCTAATTTGGATCTGCCGCGATTACCCTCTATGCTGGACCCCCCAGCAGGCCTCGAAAGTGGCGACAGTTTCACAGATCGCAGCCCCCCAGGGATGGCGAGGTCTAATTTGAATCTGCCGCGATTACCCTCTATGCAGGACCCCCCAGCAGGCCTCGAAAGTGGCGACAGTTTCACAGATCGCAGCCCCCCAGGGATGGCGAGGTCTAATTTGAATCTGCCGCAATTACCCTTTATGCCGGACCCCCCAGCAGGCCTCGAAAGTGGCGACAGTTTCACAGATCGCAGCCCCCCAGAGATGGCGAGGTCTAGTTTGAATCTGCCGCGATTAACCTTTATGCTGGACCCCCCAGCAGGCCTCGAAAGTGGCGACAGTTTCACAGATCGCAGCCCCAGGGATGGCGAGGTCTAATTTGAATCTGCCGCGATTACCCTCTATGCCGGACCCCCCAGCAGGCCTCGAAAGTGGCGACAGTTTCACAGATCGCATCCCCCCAGGGATGGCGAGGTCTAATTTGAATCTGCCGCGATTACCCTCTATGCTGGACCCCCCAGCAGGCCTCGAAAGTGGCGACAGTTTCACAGATCGCAGCCCCCCAGGGAGGGCGAGGTCTAATTTGGATCTGCCGCGATTACCCTCTATGCTGGACCCCCCAGCAGGCCTCGAAAGTGGCGACAGTTTCACAGATCGCAGCCCCCCCCCCCAGGGATGGCGAGGTCTAATTTGAATCTGCCGCGATTACCCTCTATGCTGAGCCCCCCAGCAGGCCTCGAAAGTGGCGACAGTTTCACAGATCGCAGCCCCCCAGGAATGGCGAGGTCTAATTTGGGTCCGCGCGTCGCCCTCACTGCGCTGGGCCCCCCAGCAGGCCTCGAAAGTGGCGACAGTTTCACAGATCGCAGCCCCCCGCAGGCAAGACAGAAAGAGGCAGGAAAGAGGCGGGAGGCGGGAGGAGGAAGGACGCGACCACACTGCTCTATTCAAAACGAATACCCAACCAAGGAGGGTTGGGAAAAAAATAGCGACTCCGATGTTCGCCTTGTGTTTTACATGTGATACTGCCCCGTCGTCAGTCGTAGACATGAATCTACACCATCACAGCTAAACCAATGTCAGCCCCCCTTCATCCCTCTCGAATAATACTAGGCGCGCACATCCGTCTATCAAAAACAACACTTGTCACGAACGCCGTGCTAAAATTGGACGGGGTGCACACGCGCGCCGTCGCGCGCGCACGCCGAAATCCTTCAAACATACTACGTGCCG